CCTGAGCAGAGCAGCTCGGCTCGTGTTCACATGACATGAACCAATGTGCAATGCCAACCACATGTCCAATGCGCAATGCCAACCACATGTCCAATGCCTCTGCATTTGGCTTGGGATTCTCTCAGTGTGATCTTTGAGTTTTCAAGAGGAAGAAAGCATAACTGTCTTCTCAAGGTCTAAGCTTAGAAGTTCCAGAAAGATACTTCCTCAGTATTCCTTGATCAAAACAAATTCTAAGGGCAACCCAGACTCGAGGGGAGAGGAAATAGACTGCCTTTTGATGCAAAAAATGACAAAGAACTTGTGATCATCTTTACTCTAGAAAAACTCCTTGGACATCATCCTGGTCTATCTGATTACAGCCAGGATCTTCCTCCCCCATGAGACAGTCTCTTTATTCTGTTTGCGAGTTTGTTGTTATTCAGTCACTAAGTTATGTTTGACTCTTTGCAACCCCATGGACTGCAGCACAACGGGCTTCCTTGTCCTTCACTATCTCTGGAGTTGCTCAAACTCATGTCCATTGAGTCAGTGATGCCATCCAACCATCTTATCCTCTGTCGCCCCCTTCTCCTGCCCTTGGTCTTTCCCAGCATCAGTCTTTTCAACTGAGTTGGCTCTTCGCATCAGGTGGCTAAAGTACTGGAGCTTCAGCATCAGTCCTTCCAATGAGTATTCAGGACTGATTTCCTTTAGGATTGACTGAGAGTCTTTTAGGAACTCTCAAGAGTCTTCTCCAGCACCACAGTTTGAAAGCATCAATTCTTTGGTGCTCAGCCTTCCTTGTGGTCCAGCTCTCACATCTGTAAATGAATACTGGAAAAACCATAGCTTTGACTATCTGAGGTCTGCGAGGGTACCCAGATCTTAACCTGGCATTTCAGTGCTTGACAAATGCTGTCTGTTCAGTGAGGTTGTGAGCAATGGATTCCTGCTCCTGGCCCGTGACTTTGCTGTGAGCTTCCTAAAACAAAGGCAAGCTTGCTCTCACTTCAGCTCCTTCAGGTCTTTCTTCTCTGCCACTAAATAATTTCCAGCTACCCTTCACATTTCATTTTAGGAAATACCTCCTCCAAGAAGTATTCCCTGCTTTACACCCACTCTAATTGTTCAGTGCTCCCATAACACTAGGACTTAACGGCCACCTTGCTCATCCACCCACTGCATTTCTCCCTGAGTTCATCCCCATCAGCTAGAAGGTTTAATGGGAGTAGAGACAATGCCTTATTCTCCTTATCAGTAGGTGCTCAAAAAATAACACCTTCCCACAATAGAATTGCAGCACAGGGCTAAGCAGAGCCCCCTCATATCCCACCGTCCTCCTGCAGGATACATTTCAAAACAACCCCTCAAAGCCCTTCTCTCCATGCTTTAAAACCAGCTTCTGCTTCTCTATCTCACTTCACCGCACATCTTCTTCCCTAAAAGCAACATCCCACATCCCCAGCTGAGAGCATCAGCTCCTTATCCCTTCTACATAAAATAGAGCTGTGTGTCTCCTGCACCCTTACATCTGAGACCCCAGAGCAAAGAAGGGGGTCTGATCTCTAACTATGGGGACAGAAAGAGCAGAGACGGCGTCTTCCTGTGCTTCCCCGGCGTCGCACTCACACGCCAACATTTGTCACACGCAGATGAACGTGCTATTCCCAACATGATAAATTTCACATCAGTCCTGCTGACTTGGGCTTACTAATTGCCCGATAGCGTTTTCTTTGTTAAGCTTCACTGTGATCATCACACTTTTTGTTGAACTGACAGTAAAAATATTCCGCAGCTGACGACCCAAATGCAGCCCTAGTCTTTCATGGTTGGGGTTCATGCAGGTGGCACTGGGAAGGCCCCCAGGATCCCAGCCCCTGGGATCTGTGGAGGGCTCTCTGGGTCTGCCATGATGTACAACTTCAGGGAGATGACATTTACTCTGTGCCCTTGTGCTTCCTTCAAATGAGGAGGGCATAAGCTGTACACAGTGGCCCCAGGGCAAACCCATTCTGAATCTGGAGGTTTGATGCCTGAGAGGCAAGGGACCCAGCAGGCTTATTTATTAAAAGCTGTGGCAACAGGAACGGGGACCAGGAAGAGAATGCCCATGTTCACGTTATTCTAGATTGTGCTTTCTACGTGCTGCGCTGTCTGCCTCCCTGGCAAAGCCTTTTGATGGAGGCATCTTCAGTTTTAGCTGCCAAGTCCAGCTGTCAAATGATACCCAGGGAAAGGGGGACAGCCTAGATACCACTGACTGTCTGGAATCCAACCTAGGTTTGATGTGGGTAAAAGGAGACCCTATGGAAGATGGGGATGCCTTCCTAGAGGGGCAAGGACAGAAAAAAACCACAGGGAGGTCTCCTCACCCCAATTTGCAGACTCCCTCTTAGCAAGAGATGGAGCACTCTTATCAGCTGAAGAATTCAGCCAGACAGTCAGGGTCGCATACCACACGGTGGCTGGGCCTGGCTCGGCTGTCTAGCCAAGAACAGGCTGGTCTTTGTTCCTGTGTGACTGGGGGTGCTGCTTGGGGATGGTGGATCCAGGGTGCATGCAATTATGGGATTTTTTTAAAAGGTATAGAAATTGTATCCCCCATCTTGAACCTTGGGAAAATAAATTGAAGAAGGGAGTGTGATGTTAAAAGGGCAAGGGGAGTCATTTTCATTGCTGGCAACTCTTCTCCCCCAAAGTGATCCTATGTGCTCACATGCCTTCCTATTGTTGCAGAAGCCACCAATGTTCTAGAAACACTGCATTTAACTTTTCAAACCTCATTTACATTATCCCAATGTCTCATCCTCCAGGGACTCAGAATCCTAAAGCTTGGAGCTTGAAGAAACTTCCTAGGTCATCCCCATCCATCCACCCATCCATCTATCCATCCACTATTCACCCATCCATCTACCCTTTCACCCATCCACCCACTCATCCACCCTCCCACCTACCCACTCACCTACCCATCCATCCATCCATCCACTCATCCATTTATCCACCCACCTATTCACCCATCTATCTACATTTTTACCCACCCACCCACTCATCTATCCTCTCACCTACCCACTCACCTACCCATCCATCCATTCATCCATCCAACCATATACCCATCCATCTATCCACCCACCCACTGATCTATCTACCCATCTACCCATTCATTCACTCACCTGCCCACCTAATCAACCACCTGAGCACCCACCTATCCATCTATCCATCATCTATCCATCCATCCATGCATCCATCCATTCATTCATCTATCCACCTACCCACCCATTCATTTACCCACCCCCTACCCATCTACCCGTTCATCCATTCACCCACCTACCCATACTCATCCACTCAACCACCTATTTAGATACCTATACACCCACCCATCCACCTATTCATTCATCCATCCTTTGAAGATAACCCATTTATTGAGCATTTGCCATACACCAGTCAGTGGTGAACAGGGAGACAAGTTGCCTGCTCTCATGAAACTGACATGCTATTGGGAGGAGATGGGTAGTAAACAAGTAAGCATATAAATAAACAAAATCAGCACAAGACTATGATTAAGTTCCCAGAAAGAGAAAACAAAGGAGATACGAAAGAATAAATGTAGAGGCCTGAGAGGATACAGAAGTTAACATTAAGTTGAAAGGTAATTGACAAAGAGAGTCAGCCATACTTAAAAAAAATGGAGAGAAAACTGTACTAAAAAAAAAAAAAAAATGGCCGAGAGAACAGCCATCATTCAGCAGAGGCTCAGAAATGGGCACAATGTTGAGAGACAGACAGGAGGCCGGCAGGGCCGGAGCAGAATGAACTTTGCAAAAACCACTTGTTCAAGTGAAATATGGCACAAAGTCTAATAGAAAATAAACCAAAGCAGAGGGATTCATATAAAGCCAGTTTAAAACCACTGATAAGACTTGACGGCTGGCTCAGCTCTCCCCTGTGATATTTAGCATTTCTTGGAAGGCTTTGCTGATGCTAAACCACTGCCTCTAAAATCGGCAGCTTCCTGGGGCACCTCCGGAGCACACGCGCCCAGAGCGGGTGGGCCCTGAGACCGGCAGGGCTTTCCTTGGGGACCTCTTTCTGAACAAAACGTCCGCGTGTGTGCTGAAGGCTTGACGCTCTGCCGGCCAAGTCACGCTGTGGTTTCCCCCTCCCGGCGGAGGCAGGCTTATCCCAGCTGGTTCTTGCTGAGCGGCGTGAAGGACATATTTCAGACCAGGAGACTTTGAAGTATGTGCTCTCTTAAGGCTTAACAATGTCAAGCTTCATAACCCAAGAACTGGCTTGCTAGCTTCCTACTTTAAATTGCTCATAATTTGAAACATGCAAACATTTCCACTTTATCAAGCAGGGCTACTAAACATATTATTGCTGGAACCTGCATGTTTTATGGTCTCCATACAGCCAGGGAGCTGAGTTTTATTAAAATAGACTGTTAAGAGGCTCAACTCATTATAGAATCTTCCAGGCCCCAGAATGAAAGAGTTTTGTTTATTCTAAGGGCGGGGGCAGGGGGGAGAAAAAGCACTGGGAAGAGGGTGGGGATGAGTGTGAGTGTGTGTGTGTGTGTGTGTGTGTGTGTGTGTGGTGGGGGGAGAGGTGAAAAGAAAGCAGAGACCACCAACAGTCTGGGCCCTGTCCCTCACCCCGTCTCCTGCCCCACCTCTGTGCCCACCGCCTGTCCCAGACCTAGAGCTTGTTTGCGGGGTTATGAATCTTTACTTACGGCAAAGTTCAGTCTGGGTGCAAGACAAATGGAATTTAGCAAAGAAGGGTGATTCTTCACTTGGAGGAAAAAAAGGCTCAGGGCCTCCAAGGAGGGCAAGCATAGGAAGAATGTTAAAAATCAGAACTGACACAAACATGCACTGTGCACAAAGGTTTTTAAACATGTTGATGGTGAGAAGACAGGTCAGGCTGCGTCTGTCCTTTTTAGTGTGTTCCTGGGCTTGGGCCATATTTAATGATGCTAAAGGTGAGATCAGGTAATACAGTCATCTCTTGGTACTCACAGGAGGCTGGTCCAGGACCCCAAGCAGATACCAAAACCTGTGGATGCTCCAAGTCCCTTACGGTCAGTCCTCTACATCTGTCAATGTGAACCCCTGGATTGGAGGGTCCAGCTACATAATCATTCCTGTCTGTTCTGTTAGCCTTCTTTGCTTGCCAGAGCGGAAGCACTGAGCTGCTCCCAGCCTGCTGTGTCTATTAGTCTGCTACTGCCCACGCTGGGTTTGTTGAAAGGAGAGACTCCAAGACAGCATGGGTTGGTGGGAAGCGACTCGGCTGTCCTTGGATCCCAGTTGAGTCTTCCCTTAAACTCTAGCTGCCAACACCCATCAGGCAGCGATAGTAAGAGAGACTCCAAGTGAGACCAGCAAAGAACTGCCCCGCTGAACCCTGTGACCCATAGAACCATTGAAGACATTCAGTGATTGTTAGGTCACTAAGGGTGTGTTGGATGGTGATGCAGCAATAAATAACCAAAGCACAACACATCACTTCCTCCCTCCTCTTGAGGGTGTTGGGGGAAGAAGCAGCTTTCCAGGAGCAGAAAACAATGTCTGCCAGCCATCCTGCGCACAGTGATGATGAATACGAGAATGGTAGCTGTCCTTCATGAAACATCTAGAATGTGCCGGGCACAGCTTCAGAGTTTTTATCCATTGTCTGTGGTTCATTTAATTACTGCCCCCATTTTGCAGACAAGGAAACTGAGGCTCAGTCTGATTCTGGAGCCCATGTGGTTTTTATTTTTTTAATTGGAGTATAATTGCTTTACAATGCTGTTAGTTTCTGCTGTACTAAAAAGTAAATCAGTCATATATGTACATATCCCCCCTCCCTCTCGGACTTCCCTTCCTCCCACCCCCATCCCACCACGCTAGGTCATCACAGAGCACCACGTTGAGTTCCCTGTGTTATATAGCAGCTTCCCACTGGCTATCTATTTTGCATACAGCAGTATATATATATGTGTGTGTCAATGCTACTGTCTCAATTTGTCCCACTCTCCCTTTCCCACCCTTGGTCTACAAGTCTGTTCTGTGTCTGCATCTCTATTCCTGCCCTGGAACTAGGTTCATCTGTACCACTTTTCTATGACTTATATGTGTTAGTGTGCAATATTTGTTTTGCTCTTTCTGACATACCTCACTCCGTATGACAGACTCTAGGTCTATCTACATCACTACAAATAACCCAGTCTTGTTCCTTTCAATGGCTGAGTCACATTCCATTGTATATATGTGCCATATCTTCTTTGTTCACTCATTTGTTGCTGGACTCTAGGCTGCTGCCATGTCCTGGCTATTGTAAACAGTGCTGCAATGAACACTGGGATCCATGTGTCCTTTTGGATCGTGGTTTCCTCAAGGTATATGCCCAGTGGTGGGGTACCCCACCCTGCGTGGCTCCCACAGAGGTCCACACCCTGCACCGCGGCGCCCACAGCTGTTGGCAAAAGGCCTGCACACAGGAAGTGCTTACCCACCCTGCGTGGCTCCCACAGAGGTCCACACCCTGCACCGCGGCGCCCACAGCTGTTGGCAAAAGGCCTGCACACAGGAAGTGCTCAGTAACAGTAGTCGGGGGCAGACAACACTAGGAACTCCTTGGAAGTCACCTCTCATCCCACATTTACCAAGGTACCACCCAACTTCCAGGAGCTGTGCTGGATTCTAGAAACATCCCTGGAGCTCGGCATGAGATGCACGGCCTTCCCGCACACAGAGGCACTGGCAGTCCCCATCCTGGCATCTTGGGGTTGCCCTTGATCTCCTTTAATCCCTGCAACTGTGGTGCTGGATGCCATCAGCATAAGCAATCAGTGTTTATCACATGGGGTTAGGACTGAATTACGTATGAATAAACAAGAGACGGGTAGATGGACAGATGGACAGATACCTAAGAGAAACATTCTTTATTTTTCCCTAAATTGAAGTTTGGCTTAATTTTTTTAAAGTCTTTATTGAATTTGTTACAATATTGCTCTGTTGTTTTATGATCTGTTTTTCAGCCATAAGGAAGGTAGAAGTGACCTTACCTCCCTGACTGGGGATTGAACCAGCACCTCCTGCATTGGTAGGCCAACTCTTAACCACTGGACCACCAGGGAAGTCCCACAAATCACACACACATACCTTTTAAGAAGCCCCCTCTGAAGTATCCCTTGTGGTGGTTTTAATTCTATCAGAAGTGTCATCCTCACTGTGATTTTTTTATTTGGCCTGGGTACAAGGCCAAGAGTGTTGGGGAGTACGATCTGGCCATGGAGGAGGTCGGAAAGGTGTTAACAAGCTATAAATGACCTTCCCGGCCTATTCAGGCATAAGTAATGTCCCCAAATTGCCTACAGTCAAAACTGCCAATTCCAAGCTGATTGCGATGAATCAGGCTCCCCCTATACGCAATAATGTGATCAATTTCTCATTTCGCTGAATAAATAAGCTGGAGGATGGGGAACTGTCTCTGACCCACCGTTAACCTTCTGCCTCATTATTCATATCAGACCTATGACATGCATGTAAGAAATCCCTGGTTCAATTTTAGCTAATTATTTGTTAGGACTGAAGGCTCCGTGAAGTGTTACTGATGGTACAAGTGCCCAGGGACCTCCAGGCAGAGAAAAGCAGACTGAGAGAGCCTTTGTCTACCAGGAGAGAGGCCCGGAGCAGCCGCCTTTTCTATGCCTGACTCTAAGTTTACGGCTGCTGTGTTCACTTGCGTGGACACAAGTATTTGCCTCCGAATGCAATGCCATGGTAATTTACAACATCTCTGACTATTGTTACCTTGCATTTTTTTCATTGTACTTAGTGAAGATCACCCTCACAGATCAATTCTTTCATTGGAAATAAACCCTGTCACTGTCTTTCCCCTCCCCTCTCCCCTACACAGCATCGCCCTGGCATGGGTATTGAAGGACCCATGAGGTTTTGGAAACATTACATTTTTTTGTTGTTGTTTAATTGGCTGGCTGCCTCTGAGAGATTCCTGGGAAAGCTGCAAAAGTAGGTTTGTATGTACGGGGAGGGATGATGCTCACGTGGGGGATTTGGCAGTGCCGTCAGAGATGCTGGGGGCCATTGGCTTGATTCCATCCCAGGGGCCATTGGTGACACCCCTGGAAGAAGACACTGATGGGGGCTCCCCTGGAAGGGACTCACTGGCTCAATCTGGAAGACTGGGTGCCTACCCCAGAGGGGGGACTGGATGGAAGGTTTGTGACTGGTCGCCCTTGCCAGGGGTCCACCTGGAAATCAGGATAGGTGACACCCAAGGAATCTCCCAAGACCAGAAGAGCACAAGCTATCATTAGGGCAGGTGTGTTTCCTTAACAGGACAGAGACCTTCATTGTCCACTGGCTGTCATGGTGCCTTTATAAAGATCTTTGTCATTATTCAAAGTTCCTAAGAGGCTCTCCCAAGCACCTTCACCTCAGGAGACTCAGTGAATCAGTGTCCATTCATTTCATTCAATATACAGTTTTTGAATATGAGTCATGCACTGGGCTAGACTCTGAAGGTAATGGAGAAATAGTGTTATCAAGTCAGCACAGTCTTGTCTTCCTGGAGCTTCCTGCCTAGTGTGGAGACAGATTATGTAGAAGACATCACTGTAATGAGGCGATGAGTTGAGGGAGTGATGGATTTGGGAAGCCAGAGAGGCTTTCTGGAGGTAGCTCTGAGGATGAAAATCTGTGGGAAAGGAGAGAGGTAGAGAAAGGGGTATGATGGTGGGGAAGAAGGGTGTCCCACTAGAAGAAGCAGCATCATAGAGGCTATTTCAGGGGTAAGAGGGAACTTGGCAGGCTGGAAGACAGTCTGATCACAAGAGGTAAAAGAAGAGACCAGAGAAGTAAGTAGGATCAAGGCATGAAGGGTCCCATTTGTCCGCTGCAGGATGTGAATGCTCCAGTTTGGGGGCGGGGGGCGGTGTGGACTGGGCTCCATTAATAATTGCTTTAGATCATAAACCTAGGATGCTGTTGTTGTTCAGTCGCCCAGTCGTGTCCAACGCTTTGTGACCCCATGGACTGCAGCACGCCAGGCTTCCCTGTTCACTATCTCTCAGAGCTTGCCCAAGGTCATGTCCATTGCATCGGTGATGCCAGCCTAGGACAAGTCTTTTTAAGTTTTTTTTAAAGATTTATTTCTTAAGTTTTTATTGTGGTGGGTTTTCACTGCTGCATGCGGGCTTTCTCTAGTTGCCGAGAGTGGGGGCTACTCTTGGTTGTGACACACCAGCTTCTCACTGCAGTGTCTTTTCTTGCTGCAGAGCAGGGGTGGGCTCTAGGGCATGTGGGCTTCTGTAGTTGCCGCTCACAGGCTCTAGAGCTCGGGCCCTGTAATTGGGGCCCATGGGCCCAGTTGCCCCAAGGCAAATGGGACCTTCCCTGACCAGGGACCATACCAGTGTGCCCCGCATTGCATGCATTGCATGACTCTTAACCACTGGACCACCAGGGAAGCCCTAGGGTAAGTCTTTAATCAGGACTACCACACACAAACCAGCATGCACAGTCACCCTATTTAAAAGTCAGGTCTGGGAGCTTGAACTTCTTGGATTTTATCCCAAGATCCCTCAAAAGTAAATAAGATCAACTTTGCATCTTAGGAAGATCTATGCCTGTGGCTGAAAGCTGGGAAGAGGGCAGGACTCACTCGATGAAGAGAGGCAGGAAGAAACTATGCCTTCCCCAAGGTGGGATGGGCCCTAGACTAGGTGGGATTAGCTTCATTTTACAGATACAAGACCAAGATTCAGAGAGACAAGGATCCCTAACAACTGTTGGGTGACTGGCTTTACCAAACCAATCAAAGAGAGTTCCATCATGGACCCAATTTTGCTGTCTTCCACTGTGGAGAGCCTATTTTCTGTTTAGGAGATGGGAGTGATACCAAACCTAAAGTCAAGTATATAAAACCCCAGGAAAGGGAGGAATTGTTGCTTTTAAAAAGAATAGCTGACTCCCAGGGACCAAACCCTGAACATCTTGGCCAAAGAGCTAAAGAATCTGTATTTCTGAAAAGCAGTCATTCAGTGTCTAAATAATTAACTACAAAAATATCCTCCTTCCCCCAAAATAAGAGTGACTGGTCCACCAGTCCTCTGTATCATTAGGAGCCACCGCCAGGCACACACACCCAAAGGGCATGCTAATCCCTCTCCCAGGGCTTTGCATATGTTGTTCCTTCTAGCTGCCATGCTCTCCCACTTCACGGTCACATGCTTCTTTCAGGTTTCTGCTCAGATGTGGCCTCCACCAAGAGACATTTCCAGATCATCTTGTCCAAAACAGACTTGCCCCCGTGATTGTTCTTTTTTTTTTTTTTTTTTAACTGCCCATCCTAGGGTAGTCAGTTCACCATCTCTTTCCCTCACTAGAA